CAAACCTTGTTCCATGGCATAGCATATTCTGCAGAAGTGCAAGCAATAATTCAAAAAACATTTATAAAGAATGATGTCAGTTATTAGTGGGTCACTGTTTATGTCTCCAAGGAATCAAGAAAGAGTAAATGGAAGTCAATTAAGCAAGAGACTTTTAAGTTAAATGTATAAGAACATTTCTCATAGGGAAGCTGAACTGGCCAAATGCAAGTGCCTGGAGAAACATAGTATAAGGAAGAATTAAATATGATGTGCAAATTATCTCTATTCCTGTTTATGTCATGATAATGGCAATCATCAATATTTGAAAATCTGCAGAAACTGATAGATAATAAATATAAATTCCTATTGGAACAGAAAGGCATTCACAATATGACAGGAATTATTAAGGATAAGAATACTCTGTCTTCAAGAGGTTTGTAGGTAAGGATAATAATGTAACACTCCCAAAAAGTAAAAACGCCCAACAGTTTCTCTAAAACTGATTAATAGATATTTTGTTGAAGCTGATGAAATTTGAGCAGAAATGCTGAGTATCAAAAGGCAAATGTGAGATGCCAAAATTGGTAGAATAAAAATGAGAAATGTAAGAAGTCAAACTAGATTGGAGGTCTTTTCAGCAGATTTTAAATGCATCTCACGAAAAGAAGAGGGTCAGATTAAGTTGCCTTTGAGCAAGCCCTTCTGGTTTGGCTCAATGGATAGAGCATCTGCCTGCAGACTGAAGGGTCTTGGGTTCAATTCCAGTCAAGGGCACATACCAGGGTTGTGGGCTCTAAACCAGTAGGGGGCTTTGTACAGAAAGCAACCTATCTATGATTCTCTCTCATCATTGATGTTTCTATCTCCCTCTCCCTTCCTCTCTAAAATCAATAAAATGTATATATTTTTAAAAAGATGCCTTTATTTGAGAAGATAAAGATGGTAAATTCTTATTTTTTACAGAACTGTTTTAGGAGTCAGGGAATTCAATACTCCAATCTAAAGATGAAGAAACAAATGCAATTTTTTAACAGATATCAGAGCCCAATAATTCAGCTGTCTGTGATATTTAATGTTTGAATTTTAGGAGACTTTTGGGCAAATCTTTGCTATTTAATGAGAATGATTAAATGGACAATATAATGAGGGTAGGCTAAATGTCTTTATTTAAGACTAGAGGCCCGGTGCACAAAAATTTGTGCACTCGGGGGGGGAGGGGGGGTCCCTCAGCCCAGCCTGTGCCCTCTCGCAGTCTGGGACCCCTCGGGAGATAACGCCCTGCTGGCTTAGGCCTGCTCCCGGGTGGCAGAGGGCAGGCCCAATCTCTAGGTGCAGCCCCTGGTCGGGCTCAGAGCAGGGCCGATTGGGGAGCTGGGGCGCCGCCCCGTCATGCACACAGCAGGGCAGATTGGGAGGTTGTGATGCCACCCTCAGTCACGCTCAGGGTAGGGCCAATTGGGGGGTTGGGACACTGTCCCCTGTCACACTCAAGGCAGGGTCGATGGGGAGGTTGCGGTGCCACCCCCTGTCACGCACAGAGCAGGGCCAATCAGGGGGTTGGGACGCAGCCCCCTGTCATGCACACAGCAGGGCCCATCAGGGGGTTGGGGCACTGCCCTTTACCACCCACAGAGCAGGGCTGATCAGGGGGTTGGGGCGCCGCCACTCTCACACTCAGGGCAGGGCCGATGGGGAGGTTATGGCTCTACCCCATCACACACAGAGCAGGGCCCGAGGGGGCGGGTTGGGGAGCTCCCCCTTATCAGGCACAGAGTAGGGCTGCTCAGGGGGTTTGGGCGCTGCCCCCTGTCATGCTGATCGGCTCCGCTGATCCCGGTGCTGGGAGGCATATTACCTTTTACTATATAGGGTAGAGGCCTGGTGCATGGGTGGGGACACCCTGGTTTGAAGGGTGTCCTGGATCAGGGTGGGGGAACCCATTGGGGTGCCTGGCCAGTCTGGGTGAGGGGGTGAGGGCTGTTTTCAGGCTGGGAGTGACTGAAGTTCCCAACCGCTCCTTTTTTTCTTTTTTTTTTTTATTCTGGGCCAGCTTTACCTTGAGGCTTGGCTCCAGCTCTTAGGCCTCCGTGGCTGAAAGTAGGTTTCTGGCCTTTGCTTACAATGTTGCGAATCTGCTGGCTGAAGTCCGGCGGTATTTGTTACAATGTTTCTTAAACTGCCAGCTGGTTTCCTCCAACGATCCTCCGTCACTGAGGCAAGCAAGCCTCATGTTAGTTTCAAGCTGCCTGGCTGCTGGCCGCCATCTTGGCTGACAGTTAATTTGCATATCTCGCTGATTAGCCAATGAAAAGGGTAGCAGTCGTACGCCAATTACCATGTTTCTCTTTTATTAGTGTAGATACTTCACATTTATTATTTTAGAAATACAACACATTGAGCTTCTTCTAAAATACCACATCAAATCAGGGAACACAGTTCCATGCTCTGCACAAAGCAACCACTTGGCAATTTCTGCTAACTTACAAGTTAAACCTTATCAAGGCTTACTGGGTTATAAGCCAATGCAATTTTCTAAACCAAAGATGTGAGATTTACCAATTAAGCTTTAGAAACAGGAAAGGTTGCCCAGTACACCATTTCAAAGCATTAGAGTTACAACAATAAATCATTCAAAATGTCATGCCTGAAAAGTCTAGCAATAACATTCGAAGTCAGTCCCCCTATACTTCCCTGTTTGACTAGATTTCAAAACATTAAAAAACAAATACTAAGTATAGTTCGCTAAGACAGGTAAATTTCTATTTAATTCTATAATTTTTTATTTGCTGTCATTCATTATCATCTTAAATAACAATCAAACTGTGAAAGTCTGATACTACACTGTTACTCATGTTGAGTATTTCCTTCCCACATTCCACGTGGATCAGGGTTCAGGAACTGGAAGCAGAGCTGCACACAAATGAAAAAGACTCGAGATAATCTGAAATATTGGGGGATCAGGCGGGCAAGTCCAACTCAAGGGGAAGGACTTCCTTCCCCCCACACCCCCTGCTCAGGCCTCACCAAGCTTTTATTGATCTGGGATGCACCCATAGCATAGCCCTTAGGCAGGTGACCCCCTGCAACAGGCAGACTAGCCCATCAGCAAGGATTTACATAATAATAAATGGGGGAGTAGTTTCAGCTACCACTCTCTGGACAAACAGAGGTGGCACCTAGCTCCAGCCTTTGCTAGGGCTTCAAAGGCAACCAGCCTTGGAGCGGTATTCTGTTTACGCTTATCAGATAGTGAAGGCAATAGACAGTTTCCCACATACTCAAAAAAGGGACTATAGAGAATATTAGTGGGAATGATATTTAAAATATCTTAATAACCAGAATGAATAATTTACAATTCAAAATTTAAAGTATATTTCGTTCCTTATAATCTCTAAAGAAGGTATGCTTATCAAGTGATAAAAGCTATAGCACCAATCATTTTAAAGAAATCATTCCATTTATAAATCATGTAAAAACAAACCTGCTGATATGACTTTTTCATTTTGTACATCTGTCATGAGCTATATGATACAGTAGGGTTTGAGCCAACAATGGACAAAGGAAATCAGAACAAACTTTTCCAACTCCCTCATTAAACTGGTCATCAACAGGTGACCTATCTCCATAGGCAGAGTCTTTCACATTAATGACCTTGTTCAGTAAATCCTTTCTCTGCTCCTGTTGAACACTTAAAATTTGTCTAACCCTTATAATACCTCCTGCGAGTTTTATATATCCACCATCTCCATTATTGACTCAGTCACAAAAATACTTTATTGGCCTGTCATTTAATTAACTGGCTTAATTTTATTTTGCTTCAAATGGTATGACATTTTTCTTTTTGTAATACCTGCTGCTTTTATAGTTTGTTAATTTCACATGTTCAAGTAATTACTTTTAATGTTTTCTGAATCACTCAGTCCACTTGAATACTTGAATAACAGACACTTTTCTAAAGCTAAGAAAGTATTGCTCTGTTGGAATATTTGTATTGAAGCCAAATCACTCAAAAGTGCTCATTTTCTAAATGTTTAAATATTCCCATTTTATAACTTCAATTTAAATAAACACCAGCTTGATGTAATTTTTGAACTGTTTTTTTACAGCTCCCGAACTGAAGGCTGCCCACTGAGGTGCAAACACTCTTCCTATTTTCATCGTTTCAATTCTCAGCTCTTTAGATGCACTAGTACTGCAATTCTTTATTATTTCATGTTGATTTAAGAGATTAACTAGATCTGATTAGCTTGATCTGTATCTTTTGACACCTGATCTAGGGATCAATGAATATGGTGAATTATGTAATGCATAATAAAATACCTAGACAGTTTTCTAAACTTTTGGTTGAAGTTCTACTCTGTCTCCCCAACATTATACAGATGCCATCTATACGAAATCCAATAATGTTCTAGTATAAATATTCCTCACTGAAACAATTTTTTCCTCAAATAATTATCTCTAAAATTTGATATAGCATGTCAGATGTTATTCCTTTGAATACCTTCATTATCAAATTCTTGCCTTTTACATTTTAAGTAGACTATTAAAACTCATACAAAATAGCTGAAGTTTCATAAATACTGATTAATGTTACTTGTTTTATAAGTTTAGCAAAATGCTGTTTATTTCACCGTAAGTTCAAATTGAAACAATAGGTTATATGTATATATATTTATGCCCTTCTAAGTATTTCATGGTTGAAAATGTGGTCAATTATTTTTAACTAAAAAGTAGATTGTGTTAAAAATTCTGATGGTACATTCTAAATGTTTGTTCTATTAACAGTTAAAATTGTTGCGTTTAGATTTTAAATGTGTCTTTATATGAAACTGACTCTATATGTCTTATTAATAACATATTTTCCTTACTGGAGCCATGAACTTTAACAAAACACGATTGCTACATGATTAAATATGTAAATGTTTAACATTTTCAAATTTTCATGACAACTTTTGAGCACCATTTGCACCTGACAACACATCACTAGTAATAAAAAGGCGGTCATATTTTTGAAATAATCAAGCTGTTTCCATTCCATAAATTTTGAATTCACTGTTGCACGTACCAGAAAATGTTCCAAGCTGCAGTTCATTATTAATATCACTTCTTAGTTCCCCTGGCAAATCTGATGGCATGCTTGAGATCGGCATGTGATGGAATGGTACCAAGTAGTCTGTCAATGACGGTGGAATAGCAGCAGGATCAACTGAAGTCACACGGGGCAACCTTAAAGATGATGGCTGGTACACGAGAACCCCTTTGGTTGGGCTGCTTTGTGTTACTGACATAAAGATTCACCTCCTTTTAGCAGGGGGGCCTCCCTCTTCATCAGAGGACCTTTCTGTTGGTAGGTCAGTCACATCCAATTTCTTCTTCCTTGCCTGACTGGCTGGAATCTCTGAAATATCCTTACCGGGGGCCACTATCACTCTTGTATGAACAGTGGGGTCTAAAATCAATGAACAATTCTTAGTGAGTCGGAGGACACGTGAACTTTCTATTTCTGTACCCTGTTGGCTGGATCCTTCCTTAGCTTCTTTCTTTGGTCTCAGTGGATACCAACAGCCATCTTTTTGGAATTTGATCATATCTACATCGGAACAGTCATTGAGAATTTCCATTAAAAGCCCATCTAAAATTAAACTTTCATAGGCAGCTTCTTTTTTACACACAGGACATACCCAGGTGGGATTCTTCTCATTCATTTGCAGATAGAAGGCAGCATCAAAACACTGTAGATGTATACAAGTCTCTGCTCGGCATGGGTTTGTCAACCTCATTTTCCCTAACGGGCACATCAAGGATACCGCAAGGTCAGTTACAACAATTTCACTTTCAAGATCTGCAGTAAATATTTCTTTAATTCGTGCCCTAGAATGATCAGGGTCTCTAACACCTTTAATTTTTAACCTCTGTAATAACATGGCTGATGTGAGCTGTCGGACAAGATATGCAGACATGGAGTAATTCTTTCCAATGTTTGATGACCAAAAGATGGAAATCTGGTTTGGCACAGCTGAAGATAACCTAACGAAAGATGTAATATTCACAGTGTGTCCAGGGCACCTCTGTTTAATCGTTGCATTAGGAGGTGGTGGTGGTGGTGCGTACTTAGATGAAGGAACAAGCGTCCCGTTTACTTTTATAGATAAATTCTCGAGATAGCCATCTTTTTGAGGGCAACTTGTCTCTGCCAAGCAAAGTCTCAGCTGAACTTGGGCTCTATAATCCTTCCCACCATCCGGCAAACGGACTCTGGATATGCATATTTCTATAACTTGTTGAGGGGTCAGAGTAAGAATAAACAACTCCTCTTGAGACCGTTCAATGCTTCTTTGAGCTAAACTCGTGGGCTCGATGAGAACATCAAGCACATCATAAAAGGGCAAGTTTTTTAACTGCGCATCAGGATGGGCAGGAGGGATTGCAGGACATGGCTGCTGCATCTCAAGCATGGGCTTAGTATCTTGAAGCAACACAGAACCAACAGGGAAGGACGGTGAGTGAGAGATGTCACAGAAGTGGAAGGCAACATGTGGATTCCAGCCACAGCCAGGTCAGTTTCTACAGGTGATGAGCTACCATCCAAAATGAAAACTGAAGATCTGAACGTGGATAAATCAAAAGGTCCTTCAAGAGTTCGTGGGTACAGGTGTCTATGATGCAATTCTCAAGTTTTATTTTTTAATTTTTTTAGATGGATTAATTCTTATTTATTTTTAAATTCCATTTGGATCTAGTCCATTTCTAAGGTTTATGGGATGAACTTTGGTTTACAGAGAAAAAGTTGTAGTTAACGTTAGGATGCTCAGGTTCCAATGTGTCAGCTAGGAACTTTAAACACAATAATGAACACTGCAAACAATAAAAGGAAATGAAACTAAGCACCAGAACTAGCAAAACAGAAAAACCACAAAAGCAATTTAAATGTTAAGCATGCTATTCAGGAGGCAAATACTGTGCTAGCACCATCTATACAAAAGCTACTAAGACAGACCCTGGTTTGTAGCTTACAGAGGACTAGGAATTCTGCCCTCTGGGCTCAGTGAAATAAGGCAGGGAGCCCAAAGGTACCACAGGAGTCCAGGTCAGAGGATACCCTGGAGGGGAAGGGGGATTTAGGAACCCCAGGCCAATTCAAGAGTAAAGAAGTGAAGTAAACAGCTACAGAAGACCCCAAGCACTGGGTAGAGCTTGAACCAAAAGTGCTCTCAGATCTTGTCCCCTCCCTGTTGTTGAAACAAAATGAAACTCTCTTCCTGACTCATGTGTTTAACAGGACCACCTTTGTTTACCAAACATTTCTTCCTTTCACCTTCCAGGGAAGGGAGATTAGATTTACTCTCATATTAATATGATACCCACTATTGCATTAATTCACACACACCTTCCATTTAAAAAAAAAAATTATTAAACTGGTTCAGTCTCTTAGAAAGTTTTCATTCAGTCCGTTCCTATAGAGATCCTAAGAGGTTGTGAGTCATGTCCTACATAGAAATAAGATCTAAGAGGTCCATTAAAAGTGTCATCGAAAGTAAAGATGTGCGATTTGTCAGCCATGTTATAAAACGAGATCTTCCCCATCTCATAGTCCAGGAAAACGCCGATGTCTCTGGGCTTCAATTCAGACAAGAGAGGGATGGGGCCAGTTCCCGGGGCATCATAGTCATTCCCGTGCCACCTAATCTGCCAGCATCCCTGAGCAGCCGACAGGCTCCTCCTCAACCTGGTGGACAGAGAATCTTTGCAAACTCCGATCTCCCATGTGGTTTTGTCTCCCACTTCTACCTCCCAGAAATGCCTGCCGAAATGAAAGTATGGAAACCCCAGGACAACTGTGTTGACTTAAATCTTTTTGGAGAATCAAGAACGTCTTGCCTTCTCTTTGTATATTGCACACATTTTTTTATCCTCAGAGACAGTCAGGTTAGGGTGTGCCGTTTTAGGGTACAGGGGTGGGCAAACTTTTTGACTCAAGGGCCACAATGGGTTCTTAAACTGGACCGGAGGGCCGGAACAAAAGCATGGATGGAGTGTTTGTGTGAACTAATATAAATTCAAAGTAAACATCATTACATAAAAGGGTACAGTCTTTTATTTTTTTTTAGTTTTATTCATTTCAAACGGGCCAGATCCGGCCCGCGGGCCATAGTTTGCCCATGGCTGGGACTCTAGAATGATATCTACTCTAAATGTCTTTGTAATTCTCTGCAAAGCAGAATACTGGAAAGGAAAACTGAAGCCTTCCTCCCGTAACTGGTCTGAAAACATTGATGGGGGGTGGCACCTGAGAGTTCTTGTCGAAACTTTTGACTTGTAACAGCAATTCCGCATCCGCCAGCACCCTGCAGTCTGCTATCTGACTTAGCAGGCCTTTGACTGTGGAATCCTACTCTGAAACCTAGGTGATATTGGCCCTGAGTTTCTTTTCAATCTCCTTTTCTTCATCAGCGAATCGTGAAAAAACTGCTTCTCGCTCACGTTCTAAAAACTGCCTCAGGAGCTCAGATTCAGAGCGTAATTCCAGCTTTTTGGTTTCCACCTGCTTTCTCATTTCTAAGGACTTTTTGTTTTGAATGCTTAATGATTTCCGAGCGTCTGCCAACCGCTTCTTCAGGACCTCAACCTAACCTCTGAGCTTTTGCCTGTGCTGAGAGGCAGCCTCCGCCAGGGGCCTCACCTGGTGGCCCTGGTGGTCAGGAGGCCGAGTGCACAGGGGACACAATGTGACGGAAAACCCCTATTCTGTAAAACTACTGTTTGGAATTCTCTGCTATTCTTTGGACGGCCTCTTATTCTGAAAAAGTAACTGCTTTCTAGCCTGCTTGAATAGTGGCGGAGATAAACTTAGCTATCTGACCTTGTAGGCCAGAGACTAGATACACCCAATGACATGCCAGGTGCATTTTTTAATTGATAGAACTGTATAGTTTTCAAGGCCGCCGCCAGCAAGCACACACAGGGCTGGCTCTTCTATAAAAAGGGAAGTTCTGCTTGTAGTTTTGCTTAGATTTTGGATTCATTTCCCTAAGCCCGCTGCGGTGAATAAAGTGTAACTCCAAACTCTCGGAGCGCTGTCTGGTTCTTGCCCGTTTTTTCTATAACAACAACAGCTCTAGGACCCCCTCACAGAAGAGGGTCAGGGCTCTGTTGTGCTTCTCGCATAAGCGTGTCTCTCCCTGCTGCTGCTTCTTTGCCCCTGGTGGTCTGGAGGACCTTGGCTGTGTCAACCATCTTTTCCAGCTGGGTGTTGCTCCTCAAGTCCCTCTCTTGGCATGAGTGACGGCACACGGGGCGAGGGAACCTGTCCTGCAGAGATCAGCCCAGGGCTGCTGGATGCAGGAGCGACAGAAGTTGTGCCCACATTCGATGGTGACAGGGTCTTTCGGGTCATCCAGGCAGATGGGACACTTGATTTCTGCCGGGAGTCCTGGCAGAGCTGCATCAAACGCCATTGGGCCCTGAAAGAAGGACGGGACTGAGGTGGGTTTCTTCGGGAAGCTGGGCTCTGCAGTGAGAAGTGGATGCACCGGAAATCTCAGTCCTCACTTTGCTGGTGGCCTGTGAGTCCTGTGTGTCCCCTGACCTTTTCATTCCAGCTGCCAAGAGAAGCCCTTCCCCCAACCTGCAGCCAGTCACAGCTCAGCTGGACAACCGCTCCTCCAGATTTGGAAGCTCAGAGAACATGCAGCTTCCTTGGTCAGTCGTTACCTCCAGATTGTATAGAAGTCTCACTTCTCTGACCACCAGTTGAGTCTCAACTCTTTGTGAAAATAGAGACAGAAGCATCAATCAGACCTTCAAACCTTAGAGGGAAGATAGGGGAGGGCAGGGGTAAAAGGGAGAGATCAACCAAAGGACTTATATGCATGCATATAAGCCTAACCAATGGACACAGACAACAGGGGGCATGAGTGGGGGGATAGGAGGTGATGTGGGGATAAGGACACATATGTAATAACTTAATAAATTTTAGAAAGAAAGAAAATCCTCGGTTTCAGGCTCCTCCCCAGCTCAGGTCCTAGTCAGGGCGCTTGCAGTTGGCAACCAATCAGATGTGTTTCTCTCACTTTGCTATTTCTCTCCATCTTTCCCTCTCTCTGGAGCAGGGTGGCTCTTGGACAGATCCTCTCTCAGTGCAAGAAGCCACAATGCTCAACTTTTAATTTGAACCGCAATGCTACAGCTGCTCTTCAATAAATGCAACGCCCTATCAGGCCATGCTTGCGTCCACTTTTATTCCGCCCAGCAAAGCCCAGCAACAGTGGCCGTTCACTGTAGTTCAGAAACCTAAAACTAGAAGAAACCATATTCCTCAGCTCCTCAGAATCCACCATTTTATACCATCCGCGGGCGCAGCTGTTGCCACAGCACCCCTCCAAGCAGCTGCCACCAGGGCCCCCACTGCTGCCTTCAGCAACATTCTGCACTGGGCCTAAGTATATTTTTAAAAGAAAATTATATTAATAGACTTAAATCTGCTTATGTTTAACAAAAGCACATACTACAATAAAATTTTTACAAGAATTGTGCTGCAAGTTCTAATGAGAAGAGAGAAAGTACATGATCTGAAAATGATTATTTGAAAAAAATCTCAAAGAAATCAACTTTCAAAGGAAAAGTGCGAATTATTGGACAAAGTCAGAAACAAAGACACTGTTGCTTTATTTTTAAGACCATTTAAAATTTAAGATCATTTTTAAAAAATTTCCAAAGTCATTTAGAGTGCCAAATAATCTATTGAAGTAGCTGAATTATATAAACATATACCTTTGTTTAATAGATAATAAAAAAGTAGAGTATTTTTTTAAAATAGGTTTGCAATAAGAAGCCTATTTATAAGCAAATATTTACTTACTGAAGTTCCAGGTCAAGAGTCAACTGCTACAAGGAAGTTTTTTGTCTCAGCTCTCCTTTGACCACATTTCTCCTAATCCTAAAGCAAAGTGAATCATTTGCTTGTAGGATTTCTATACTTTTGGCATTGAAAACATATGACTTTCAATGCATTCAATCAGAAAATAAGCATTTTGTGTGAGGGCTACTGTGTCCCATGAACACTATTATGCAGAGAGATGCAAAGCTAAGAAACTCATAGCTATCTATGCTCAAGAAGCTCTATTACTCTGGGAACATTATGTCACAGAATTATTTATAAGGATTACATGAGTTAAATAAATGGCACTTAGCTTAGCCAACAGGAGGAGCTCAACAAAAGATTTTTTTGCTTCTATTTTGGGGGCATGTATTGCATATACCAAAAGCCTTACTATATTATAGTGGACTAATTTCCAAATATTTTTGTTCGTTTTAATTTTGTTTGCTTTGCTTTTCTACTTCACTAAATTGTGACTAGGTCATATGTTTTCTCCTACAACCTACCTCCATGGGTAGCCTAGAGCTGAAACTTGATATCTGTGATTGAAAGATAAGGAAAGGCAAAAAGAACTAAGGAAGGCAGTCAATGAACAGATATCAAAATAGTCATTTTGACAAGTTCCTGCACTAAGTTCCTGGACTAGTATGTAAGTGAGAAATGCCTGGGGACTGCAGACTTAGGGGTACTCCCAACATTTATGGACATGAGCACCAGAATCCCCAACAGGTCTAAATGTTCAAGAAGCAGAACACATTTCTTCATGAAGCTACAAAGTGCAGTGGAAGAGTAATCATGGTGAATTATGCCAAGCTTGTTCCATACTGAAGGCCAACTCTAAGGGGGAAAAGGCTAACATTGTTTTCTCCCACTGGAGGAAGGTCATTCTTTCCACTTCAGTCCCCTCTAGACTTTTAACTCAGAGGAGGGTAAAAATCATAGTTAATGGTTAGGTCTTCAAGGAAATAAATTGGAAATGCTGCAGCTATAAAGGGAGTGAGGAAAATGGGAGGAAATGCTATATCCACTTGGGAAATACTATATCCACTGAAGATCAGAGCCCAAGACATAGGTCCACTAAAAGACAGAGATTTAATCATAAGATTATAGAAAACTCCCCCGCACACACACCTTACTGCCATATCCACAAGGTTCATAATGACTATGAATAACAACTGCAAGAGTTATTTTATAGATATACGCAAATTAAGACAATAGACCCAGAATAGCCAAAACTATATTGAAGGAAAAGAACAAAGTGGGGAGACAAACTCAATGTTTGCCCCTTAACTCTATTATTCCACACTTATTACTGTGATTCATGTAAAATTTTATTTTTTTCTCTTTCTGGTAATTCCCCATCACACGCAGAACAAATTCCAAACATTTTAGTGTAGCATTCTGGTGCTACATTATATAGCCTTAGAAAAATAGTCAAGTTTAGTTTTCTATTTATCACTTAAAGCATTTATCAAATGCATTTATATAGCAAATGTACCAGAAGACCTATGAACCAGGAGATAATGGTTCCATTCTGGTCAGGATACATGCCTGGGTTGCTTGCTCAATCCCCAGTAGGAGGCGTGTAAGAGGCAGCTGGTCAAGGATTCTCTATCATTGATGTTTCTATCTCTCTTTCCCTCTCCTTTCCTCTCTGAAATCAATGAAAACATATTTTTAAAAAGATAAAAAGGGAGAGAGATAAGGAGGACCGGAAAGGGAATTACAACTTTATTGTAGTTAGGAAAGGTCTCTGAGACACTGGAACAATGACCTGGATGAAGTGAGAGCCCCAGTTCTTCCTTCAGCTAAATCACAATAACCCTTTAAGATTCAGCTTTTATCTTCTGCTGGAGTAAGACCTAAATGACTGACACCGTATTGCCCTCACAGTTTTTGGGTTTCATGTCTCATCTATGTGTTTTCATAGCTTTCTGTGTTTATAATTCGCATAGCAGTCACTTGGTAAATGAAAAATATTTCAGTATATGTCTGTCACCCTTCAATTACTATCAATCTCTGAGCAGGAAACCATAAAAATTTTAACTCTTGTATACCATTTTTAGCAGAGGTGCTCTGAAAATAATTCTTGAATTGACCCAGATGTCTTGTAAGTGGAGCTTCCATTCGCATGGGACTTACAATATTATTACATTTTCTTCTCTTGGCCTCAGTCTCTTCTTCATGAAATGAGAGATATCGTACGGGGAGAAGGAAAGAGTGCTAAAATTCTGCCATTAAAATAAAATGATACCATTATCTAAGATGGCCCCAAACTGCCTTTATGAAAAGTAAAGCCTCTCAGAGGAAATCACTAGATAGTTTCTTTATATTATCATTTATTTTATATTGAGTATGAAATTGCTATATTTCCAGATCACTGAAGCCAGTGGTAGTAAAAATGAGTCATCGTTAGTTTGAATTTCATTCGGCAAACTTAAAGATGTTGGTGATTTATTTATATATTAAAAGTCATACCTTAGAGTCAAGCTTCCAGTATGGCTGAGTAGTTCCTGCCAGACCTGTCCCTCTACCAGATAACAACTATAAAGTCTAAAAGGGGATGGACAACACTGTGAACAAAAGCAAGCAGGTCAAAAAGGTAGTGGCACATAGAAAAAGGGATCAAGAAGGGTGTGGTTGAAAGAGCCTGCAGAAGAATGATATATCTATCTCCACAGAGGGGAAACCTTTATTAGTGAATGCTGATTTTAAAAAAATATATAAAGTTTAGAAGGCATTGGGAAATCATTAAAGTGGTGGGAGGGATGAATTTTCAAACCATAATTTCATATGCACAAATATATTCACTGACGCTGAAAGCTGAATACATTAATTTTCAAATAAAAGTTAATGGAGAGTTCATTTCCACTGGACAGGCCCTATAGGATATTATAAAGGAAGTTCCTCAGGCTGGAAATGGGGAGCATAAGAAATGGTAAATACTTAGGTAAACTTTTTTTCTTCCTTAGTTCTTTAAAATGCATAGAGATGTTTCATTCGAAAAGGGTTGTGTATTTTCTTATTTATAATTTATGTTGGTATAAGAGACCTCAGATAGTGTCACTCTTCTACTATAAAAATGCTCTATATCTTTCGACAAAATCTAAACTCATTTAAAGTAGAAGGTTGCCATGATTAGCTGCTGCTTCCTACGTAGCTTTATTCTGTGATGACTGTACAATTTTTACTTAGCATTTTAGAGATGCCAAAATGTTACTATAAGAGACCTCTTATACCAACATAAATTATAAGAACAAAGAATAAGAACAGTTGATGGAGGTTTATGTTTATATAGTTACTAGAGGCCAGTACACAAAATTTGTGCATGGGTAGGAACCCATTCTTAATGACTAAGAACTTCCCAAATCCAGGGAAAGATTTAAATATGTCATTTCAATCACCACCAACAACCAAAATACTTTAAAAAAGACTGTCTCCAAGATAAATAAAACTGTCAAAATTTAAAGACAAGGAGAATCTTGTTATAGGGGAAAATAAGGGCTTGTAACCTGCAAAGGAACCCCCATAAGACTATCAGTGAAATTCCCAGCAGAAACCTTATAGTCCAGGAGAGAGTGGGACAATATATTAAGTGATGAAGGGGGAGGGAGGGGGAGCAGCATGAACACAATCTTGGAGTACTATCCTTGAGAAGTAAAGGAGACATACTTCCCAGATTACAAAATAAAATATTAAAAAATGCTGAGGGAATTCATCAGTACTAGACCTACCTTATAAGAAATGCTAAAAATAGTTCTTAAAGCTGAAATAAAAGGCTGTTAATTGTTAAATAAAGCATAACAAAATAAAACATAACAAAATAATCAACATACTCGTACAGGTAATTATATGACCAAATTCAGAATACTCTTATGATGTAATATGGTAGAGTGCTGAACACTTAACTCTGGTGAAAGTATAAAAGAAAAGACTATTAAAAATAACTACAATTAGAGTTACTTAATACATAATATAAACAGAGTTAAATTATGACAGCAAAAATATAAAAGAGGGGGAGTAAAGGGGTAGAATGTTTTCATGGAATTGCAATTAATTTACCAGTGTATATCTAGTATATATTTTATGTAAATCTCACGGTTACCACAATGCATGAACTATAGTAGATTCATAAAAGATAAAGTGAAGAGAAAGCATATCACTATGAAAAATCACCAATTTATAAAGGAAGACAGCAAGAGAATATAATCTGAGATTGGAAATAGGAACTTTGGAAGTACTCAAAAAAGAATGAAAAAAACACACACCTTTATTACTCTGAATATAAATGAATTAAGTTCTCTAGTCAAAGGGTAAAGTACAGCTGAATGAACTAAAAACAAACAAACAGATAGAAAACCCAAACAAAAAACCCAAACCAACTCTATGCTATCTACAAGAGACTTGCTCTTACTCCAGCTGAGTGAAGGGAAGAAGATATTTCATGCAAGTGGGACACCA